ATTATCCGTCACTATACTTTGAAGGGATATTTACTGGCACTCGATAATATAGTTACGACATCCAGGTTGTAGATTAATACTTAGCACCAAAACACAAGTGCATGGGGCTACTGTTTCGCACTGGAGGCTGCAATCAATTTACGCGTTCCTACCTATTTGTCAGTGAAAAGTGAGAGAATATATACGATGAATTGGCAGAGCAATGTAGGATACTTGGTTTGGAGTCTGTCAATTCTTTATGGTATATTTGATGCGTGGTCAAACAAAACAAACAAATATGCTTATCGTACCAAAGTTTTAGAATATTTAGGAAGGATTGAGCAGAATTATACACATCATATGCAAGAAAAAAGGAGAAGTTAGATGTAATCATTCAGAAGCATTAAGCGCGAAAGAGCCGTTTTTTTCATCAATGATCATGAGGAAAAATGAGGTGCGAAAATTGGCAGAAGCGGAGGTTTCCTTGATCTCAGTTCGTAACCCTTACATTGTAGTGAATCAAGAATGGAGTGCTTCTATATATGCCAGCGGATGCATAACAGCTTCAATTTAAGTAATTCATGTGGAATGGATAGTTCTTAGGAGCAGGAACTATACTAGCGCTTATGAGCAACAGCTTACAATATTTCATCGTAATTGGTAATATGCTCTCATGTAATTGTGAGCTTTGAGATTGGAAAAAGGTATGTGTGGATCAATGAATGCAATTATCACATAGAGTTGAGATTCCTGGGACAATTGGTTTAGAATCGAACTTGGAGATACACTGAGAGAAGTGCAACAAATCATATGCATTTAGACGACTATAAATTGCGCACCCGACGTTGTTGATATTCATAAGCACGGCAGTGCTCGAACTTGGACCCCTTCGCAAAGTTGGCCGGGTCCAAAGGTTCGCATTCGCCGGAGCAAGTACGCGGATAACACATGAACGAGATGTGCCTGATGTCGATAAGCGATGTCATGTGAAAAGCCCCATAGGCGGTGATCATGACGTATTCCATGAACGCATAGACTCGTGGCACTGGAATGGAATGAAATGGCCTAGGCTCATTTTAAAAATAGTCCCAACACTCACTGTATGAGAAGCAGATAGGAAAGGAGATAGCGGAGTGGTGATGTTGGAAGTACTGAGGTGATAAATAGCAAAAGGCGCATGTAGCTGCCATTTTCACCA